CGGGGCCCCGCCCGCGGCCCCCCGGGGTCTGGCGCCCCCCGGTGGGTTTGCTTGGCCGCTCCCGCAGCCTGGGGACACACAGCTCGGAGCAGCCGCAGAACCCTCCCGGTCACCTCCCGGGACCCTCCTGAGCAAGGACCTGCCTGTTCTGCCCTGCCCTGCCAGCAGCCACAAGCACCGTCGCAGCCCTACACCGTGGTGCCTGGCCAGGCCTGGAGCGCTCTCCTTGTCCCCGCTGAAACCAGGAGGACGGCTGGGCTTTGGCAGAGGAGCCACCCCTGGAGCATCAGCCTGGTTTTCCCTCCCCTGCCCGTGCCGGAGGCTTAGGGAACAGCCGGCCTCCCGCAGCCCCCCTGGTTTTCTCAGCTCAGCCTGACAGTGAACCCCCAAAGCTCTCCCTGTGCCCGGCACGGTGCTGCCGGCTCCTCGGGGCTGGGACACCCAAACCCGTGGGGTGCCCCACCGTGGCAGCGGGCAGCGCGTCCCCACGGGGGAGACGCAGCATGGCCCCAAACGGGGCGCAAGGCTCGCCCCCGCCACTCCAGCCCTCCCTGCTGTTCGCAGCGCCCATCCCACGGCGGGCTGGAGATGTCACCCCCCCATAAGCTCCCAGCCCTGGGTTCCCAGGGAGGAATCTGGGAGCTGTTGAGCTTACAGGAGCCATGGTGCTGGCCTGGAGGAGGAAGCAGCGGGGTGGCCAACACCAACCCCACCTCTGGCAGGACCCGCACCGGGGCCATGGAGCGAGCGGCTACCGCAGCCCCGGCTGTGAGCCAGGCAGAGAAAACACCCCCCAGCCCCAAGAAGAGCTTTAGCCTCCTTTAGGAGCCATGGCCATCAGCATAGCCCGTGCTCCGCCATGGGGACAGGCAGTGGGGACCTGCTCCCCACACGCACCCCACAGCCGCTGCGGGACGTTGCTTTCACTGAATGAACATCTCGGCCCTAAGGTAGCTCTGAAACGCAGTTCCCTCCTGCAAAGAGGAGGTGGCCTTTGCTACTGCATCTGTGTGACAAAACCAGGCGGGGAAAGGGGGGCTCAGCCTCCTGCACGGGCTGGCCCGGACAGCTCCAGAGCTCGCTGGATGGGGATGCTAGCTCTGACGCTCCTCAGAGTGGCTTCTGGCTGTCCCTGATGCTCTCGGGGTGCAGCCTGGCCACTGCCAGCGGCCCCATCAGGTCCCTGGGGTCGGTGGCTCATCCCTACCCCACTGGTGTCCCTGTGTGCCTGTCCCCAGGAACAAAACCCGCTCCTGCCATCAGCCCAGTGCTGGCCGGAGGCGGGGGACGGAGGGGCGGGGGGCACCCCCTGCTACAAAGTGCGATGGAGAGGGCAGGACAGGCGGGACAGGGAGTGACACTTTTGGCACTTGTTCCGGAGAGAGGGCACAGCCCCGAGCCCCGAGCTCACAGCGGGGCGGAAGACAGTGAGGTTAAATTAGTGATGCCCCGGGGGCTGGGGACCGGGGAGGGGGTACCAGGTCCCCTGCCCACCCCTGCCCCCCTGCTCCATCCCCTGGGGAAAAGCAACCTCGCGGGCCGCCCAGGAGCCCCCTTGTTGCCCAGGAGGAGAACGGAGGGAGGGGGAGCTGGGGGGCACCATCACCGCCAGTGCATTCATGGGGACATCCCGTGGCATGGGGACATCCCACAGCATGGCAGGGGCACGGGCCAGCAAACCTGGGGGGGCCGGCCCCCCATGAAGGTTACTGGCTCATGCACCGAGGATGCCAATACCAACACGTGCCCTGGGCACCCTCCTCCCATCGTCCCCCTCCAGCCACATCCCAGGACCCCCTTTGTGGGGTGACCCCATCCCATCTGCTCCGCGCACCGGAAGAGAGGAGCCCGGGGGCGCGAGATGGCCGGGGGCAGGAGGGGACCCCAGCCTGTCCCCGTCGGGGCAGGAGGACAGGAAGGTGCTGATGGGGGGGCTGTGAAGTGACGTGGCTCTGGGCCCCCCTCTGCACAGGGGGGCCGGGGAGGAGAAGTTGAGGTTACCGTCTTTTCTTTTGAAAATCAGTCCCGCTACAGCCGAGGGGTGGAGGTGGCGATGCCCACGGCGCCCGGACACCAGGATCCCTCTGGGGGGGCAGGGGGGTGCGTGCCCCCGCCGAGGCTGAGCGCTCAGACGGGCAGGGCGGCCGCCGCCTGCTCCAGGTCTCTGTTGGCTGCCTCTGGGCCTGGGGGGAGAAAACGGGGGGTTAGGGGCTCCCAAAGCCCGCCGGCGCGCTCGGCTCATCTTTCCACGGAGGGTGCAATTTGGTGTCCCCAAATAACACCCACCTCCCCAGCCCCACGTTGGGTTTTGGCTGCAGCGAGGGCTGGTGAGAACCTGCACTTACCTCTCCGGGCCAGGGGAGCCCCTCAAACCCCCAATTCCTTGGAAATGCCGAGGGGCAGACGGGAAGCACCGCGCACCCAGGCTGGGTTTTAATAACCCAAATGGAAGGGGGCTGCCTCTGCCCCCCCGTGCCCAGCGAGAGGGCACATGCAGATGCCCCGTGGGGGCTGCAGGTTGGGCACTACGGGATGTCACCCTGGCCGGGACAGCGAGGGGACTGCCAGCGTTGCCGGGGCGAGGGGTGCCAACCCAGCGCCAACCCCCCCCGGGCGATGGGGCGCGAGGCGGGCACAGGCTCTGGGGGTCTCATACCTATTCCTCAATGTTAATGGGGCAGGAGTCCGGCACAGCGGCTGCGTGGCGGGAGAGACCAGAAGGCACATGGTGAAGGCGGGAGCGGCAGCGGCGCAGGGGCATGCACGCGAGTGAGCAAACGGGGCGACCGCGGGGGGCCGGGGGGGTCGCCGCCTGCCGACGGGTCTGGGACGGGGACGGGGAGCTGCCGCCGGGCACGGCGCGAGGGGGCCGTCATGCGTGGTGCCCGCCGGGGTTTCATGCCGAGGAGAACCGAGGGTGGGCATGCTTGCGGCGCGGGGGAGCCTGGTCCCCGCACGCCTCCTCTCCGGCTGCAGGCTCCTGGTTCAGGCAGCACCCTCCGGCCGGGGCAGGGCGATGGGCAGAGCTCGGGACCGGCCCGCCCGTGGCTTGCATCCCACCACCCACACGATCAGAGGCTACATGGTGCCCTTAGGAAGGGGGTGCACCCCTAGAGCAGGGCGGCTGCTCCCACCAGCGAGGCGGGAGCCCTGTGCCCAGGGGCGGGGGCAGCTCCGGGCCGGGGGGTCCGTGCGAGGGCACCCCAAGGCCAAGGGCAAGCGCTGAGGCTTTGCCAGAGAGGGAGCAACAAAAACCCGCTGCCTGCTGATTTATGGGAGGTGACAGCTGCCGTTTCGACTGGCTTTTCATGGCGAGCTCAGGCTGGAGAGCGAGGCACGTTAGGTCTGCCGATCCCGGAGGGAACGGAGAATTAAACAGGACCACACACACACACACACACCTACACGCGCAACCGAAATCCCATTAAGAGCTTGACGTTGCCTAAGTCTCTGCAGCACTCTGGTGCAGAGACCCAGCTCAGCTCCGCGCACCCTTGGCAGGCTGCCGAGGAGCGGGGCTGGGGCAGCGGGGCAGGGTCCGGCCCCACAGCAGGGACCCGGCCCCCTGCCCCCCCCCCCGCCAGACCTGCCCGGCACGGGCCGGCTCCCAATGAGCGTCGCGGCGAAACCCAACCGGCTCGCCCGGCCCGCTGCGGTATCACTTACAGCTCAGATCATCCGCGGGTTTAAACCAGCCAAAGCCCTCGGGGGATTTCAGGTCTTCTACCACCTCCGACACAGCAGCTCCCCAACCCTCCCCACCTTGCCGCCAGCCTTTTTGGCAGGCACCTTCCCCCAGTTTCTCTTTCCAACGCTGCTTCTGCCACCCTGGCCCCGGCAGAGGCTGCGGCCGCAGCCAGAGGATGCTCTGAGCCCCGGGGCCAGCCCTGCAACCCGCTGCACGCCCCGGGGCTCCGCGGGATCCACTCGAGGACATGAGTCTGCGGGTATTATTTAAACCTTGTGTCCTAAAATCACCGGGATGGGGCCTTTCGACTCCTCCTGGAGCCTTTTCCCACCAGACAGATCTGCAGAGATTTCACAACAGCGCTGGGGATTAGGAGTAAACCTTTCCACTTTGAGGAACCACATCCCACACCTTCACCCATTACAGAGAGGCCAAAAACCAACCCACGGGTCTGATCACGGCAAAACCTCCCCACGAGAGAAATGGGGGGAGGAATAAATAACAATAAATAATAATAATATCATCATCATCTCTGGTCAAGGTGATTTTCTTTCAAGCTTTCAAGAAAACAGCACCTGGCCCCAAAGTAAAAGTCCGCCCTGTTCTTGCCGGCCCCGTGGATGCGATTACATGCAAACCTGCAAGAAACCTCTGCCAAAAAGGACTTTTCCAGTGCATGCAAACCAGCCCTGCGGTTGCAATCCAGCACCACCAGTATTAAATAGTGCCTCGAATCGGGTCCGTCACAAACTGGCTGAGTCCCGATAGCGGGAGGCTGCCGACGGGGAGCAGACGGGGCCGGGGAAGGAAGGAGCTGCCCCGAGTCTAACGAACAAAACCAACGTTGCAAAACACCGACTGCAACCAGGAAACGACCGCCCGGCTGCTACAGCCCCGCGGTGGCTGCTCCCCTTCGCCGCCCTGGCCCCCGAGCTCTGCCCAGCACCCCGGGGCAATCCCCCTCCAACCCCTTTGGGGCAGAGCTCAGCACCCCTGCAGTCATTCCCTCCAGCCCCTCTGCCACCCCAAAGCGCCCGCTCTGCACCTCCTCTGCCCCCGGCGCGAGCGGCAGCCCCCCGCTTTTCCCAGCAAATGCCGAGGCCGGATCGCCCCTCTCATGCGGGCAGCAGCGCGGCTCCCTGCCGTGGGCTCCAAGCAGCGCAGCCGCCGGACGCACGGACAGACGTGGTGGCCAAAGGATGGAGAGCGCATCCGTGGCGGGGCTCGGCCAGATTCTGCACCCCAGCCCAGGACAGGGACGAAGCCATCGCAGTCCTTGCAGCAGAGCAAGAATTTGGCCCCGTGCTGGGGCCGTTCAGGCTGCAAAGCCTCCCCCCTTCCTCATCCTCCCCCGGCACAACCAGGGCAGGGCTGGCTTTGGCTGGTGCCGCGGCCAGGGGTGCTTTGCCAGGACCCCCAGCAAAGGCGGGGGGGTGCTGGGACACCCCCAGCCCCCTCCCCAGCCCCCCCGGCCGGCGGGGCTCAGCCGGCTGCTGCCGGAGGGCGGTGGAGGAGACACAGGGCATTTGTGGCAGGCGCCTCTTCCTCCCCAAGAGCCTCAGCCGAGTTTCTCCAGCGCAGAAACCGGCAGGATCAGGCGAGGCAGTGGGAGAGGAAGCTTTCCTGAAGGAGAAGGGGGGAAAGAAATGACTCTCCCCTCCTGGGGGGGGCTGAGCATCCACCCTCTCAGCTCTCCAGCACCCACTGCGGGTCTGGGACCTGCCACAAATTTAGCCGAAGGGGCAAGGCAGGGGCAGAGTTGCTTTCAGCTTGTCCACAAATGTATTGACGCAGACCTGGACCCTCGGAGGGCTTCGTCTCGGCTTTTTCCCCTCCTGTTCCCCCACCCCCCGGGCTGATGGAGAGGAGCCCGTGGTGCTGGGCAGGGTCCCCAGCCCGCTGCTGGCCCCTTGGCCCACACAGGGACCGGGGGTCACCAATACATTTGTCACCTTTGGGCAACTCTGGGCAGGGAGGGGACACAAGCGTGGGTTGAGAAAACCGTGTTGGCACAGAGCGAACATGAACTTTCACGCGGACGGAGGAGCCTGGGGGGGAGGAAGAAGAGAAAAAAGGGATGGAGAGAGGGCGAGAGGCAACGGGAGAACAGTGGAAGGAGGGTGGGAGAGAAAGCGTGAAGAAATGGGAAAGAGGGATGAGCTTCGGGGCTCTGCAGAAGGACAGCTAGACCTGACGTGCCCCATCTCCTCGGCCCCGGAGGAAGAGGAGGGGGAGGCAGGCAGCCCCTGCGGCAAGGCTGGAGCAGCTGTGGCTCACGTCCCGCCCCAAAATACCGCTGTGCCCACCACGAGTCTGGACCAGGCTACCGGCGTGCCACGCAACCGCCTTCACGGGGAGGGCTGGTGCCCCCCAGGGTGCCAGCAGCCCCCCGCCAAGGGAAAAAACCTCCCAGCGAAGCACGTCTGCGACCCCCCGGGGACATCCCGGTGGGGACAGGTCACCCTGAGCTACAGCTGCTGGGTGGTGACGTGCCTGGTGCTCAGCCCCGTGGTGGGACAGTGGCGGGGCGCAGCGAGGACAACCTGGTGGGGATGGTGGTGGTGGGGATGGTGATGATGGTGGTGGGAAAGGAGGGATGGACGCAAAGGGTTGGGGTGATGCAGGGAAGAGTGGAGCTGCCCCCCCCCCCAAGTTCATGTTCAGCAGACGGCCACTCACCAGGTAAGCAGGCCTCAGAGCACAGTTTATTGTCCAGCGCTTTCACGTGTGCGATGCCCAAGTCATTGTTATTGTCACACCTCAGACCGAGGAAAGCGCCTGTCCTCGGGCCTGGAAGGGAGTTAAGGCAGTTAACGCCGCGGCTCAGCACTGGGGCTTGCCGTTGCCTTTTTAGCGGCGGGGTGTGGGATTTCTGGGTCTGTTCCTCTCCCCTCCCCACCCTCTTTGAAAAAAAAAATAAATAAAAATGATGCATCTAGATGGGAGTGGGTGAAGAGTGGACAATAACACCTGGGCACGGTCCGAGCTGCTCCTTTCCTTGCACCGGCCGCATCGGAGGGCAGCGAAACAGCGACGATGCGGCAATGGGCACCGGCACGCGTGAACCTGCTGCCCCACCGCCTGCCCGGGGTTCAACCAAACCTTCCCCCCGGCACGGCCGAGTGGTCCCCGGTTGGTAGAGCGGGGCCGCGGTGGCACCCGTCCCCTCCCGCTGGAGCCTCTCCGGCACCATCAGTGCGTGCGCGAGAGCCGCGGGGATGCCGGGAGGCAGCGACTGGATGCGTGGGGCAAAAGAAGCCGTAGCCAAGCTTTGCAGGGGGGATGGAGGCTTTCGGGGCTGAGGGAAGTAACTCTGCTTCTTAGCATCACCTGTACGAGAGATCAGCCCCCAGGCTGTTACCTGCATCCATCAGATGCAGCGACCAAACCTCAGGAGGGACGCTCCCAAAGAAGCCAGTAGCCCCGCTGAGAACGGGCACAGGACCGTGTCCTAAGGAGAAAGGCTGTCCTGCTCCCAGAGTTGTAGGGATGCCCATGGATGTCCACCACAGCCACCAGTTGCTCCCCAGTTGTCATATTTGAGTCTCCCCATCAGCAAGAGCCTCCCCGCAGGGCAGAGGCCACGTTTTGGGGATGGGTGTTCCTGCTTTCCAGCTTGGCTGAGTGTCCAGGTTGGACGGGGGAAGAGTTTTCGTAAAGTTTTGCTAACCAGAGACTTGCAACCACGGGAGGGGGCACAGCGGGGGCCTCCCTATCACCCAAAAGAAATCCCAGGCGGCTGGTGGCCAACGGCATGGGGGTGACCGCATCTTTCCTTGGCTATTTGAACACATAGGAGAGGCGAGAGGAGCCCTCGCTGCGCGTGTCTTGGCTTGCAAAGGCACACTGAAGACAGGCCAAAAAAAAATTAGGAAAGCATCCCAAAGGGAACAGTTTTGCAGCCCCTTCCTACGGGAAGCAGCCCAGACAGGGGTCCCTAAGGGGCAGGCTTTGAGAGAGGTGAGGAAAGACCTTCTTGGCGAGGGAAAAAACACGGAGAAGCCTCTTTCCCACTTGGCCTGTTGGAAACGCCGTCGGATCCTGCACACCAGCTGTCGCCTGCTCCGTGCCCCACACTGCGCTTGCCAGGGTCCCTACGGCCAGCCGGCTTCCCCTGACCCACTGGTGTTCAACCCACCCATGGGTGGCCCCGCTGTGACCGATGCTTTCCCAGCCCCGGTGCCCACAGAGGCACCCAGGGCTCTCCCGGTTGGCAGCCAGCATGCAGGGGAGCTGGAGATGGCACAGCATCTGCCACTCGCTCGGCTGCCCACTGGTGACACTGAACCGAAAGCAGGGGGACAACAACAACCCAGGGCCTTTTACCGTCTTCCTGCGTGGGAGAGGAGTCCTCGTCCTCCAGCACGTCGTTGCCCTGCGGCACAGGCAAGAGGCAGTGAGCGTTAGGTGCCCCATGCACCCCGACACCGTGCCGGGGCTGTCCCCGCGGCCCTTTGGGGGAACACCCCTGGCCCTGGGGGTGTCCATGGACCAGGAAGGTGAGCCCGGATGGGGGACAGCCCCACCACCCCATCCGTCCCCAGGGCGGCCCCTTCCCCATCCCAGCCCCGACTTCCCCCTCCGCTGGCAGCTGGAGCCGGGCACATCTGAGGTCCCCGCGCCGTGCCGGGCGGCACCGCGGCTCCCAGCCCCGCGCGGGGCGGTTACGGTTACCTCGGCATCGCGCTCCTCAGCCGAGATGCTGACGAAGTTTATATCCGGGGACTCCACAGGCGTTGACTGCGGGAAGAAAGTGGGAAAGATGGAAGGAAAAAAAAAAAAAAAAAAGTCTGGTGCCAGTGGGTTTGGAGGAGAGTTGCATCCCATGGGGAAGCTCTTCAGCCTGGGGGTGATGGGTGCCATCAACAGACCCCCCAGCGCCTACCTCTGCGTCGGAGGCTGTGGCGCTGGCAGCTGCGGGGAGCACGTCCCCCTCCTCCTCCTCCGTGCCGGGAGCGATGTAGGAGCCGGACATGGAGGACACGGTGTCAGTGCTGAGCTGGGAGTGCTGGCTCTGGGAGGAGGCCATGGACATGACGGACTGAGCCAGGCTGCTGCTGACGGGCTCTGGGGGAGAGCGGGGGCTGAGCGGGGCCGCCGGACCCCCCCAGCACACCCGTGCGAGTCGCGGCACAGCACCGGCTAGTTAGAAACAGGGCTAACGAGGAGGAGCGGGGCACGGAGCAAGGACCTGCTGCACACCACGGAGGTGTGATGGGTGGAAAGCTGCCAGCAGCGGGTCCCCGGGGCTTGCAGCCCCCCGACTCTGGGTCGATGGGCTGATAAAGCAGGGGCGATTGGTGCCCCCATGCCCCCCATCTCCAGGTCTATGGGTGACAAAGCAGAGGTGACACCCCAGGGCTTCATGCAACGTCCATGGCAGGGTAGGAAGGGGCCATGCAAACCCCCTCCGCGTCCCCCCGCAGCGGGACGGACCCACAACCACGATCCCACTCTCCTGCCTTGCCAACACCTGTGAGCCCAGCCGTGCCGCACCTTCTGGGGACGAGATGGTGGAGGAGAGGGGGGTCCCGGTGCAGGAGGACTGGTCGATGGCTCCTGACGACGACAGGGTGAGGTTTTCACTCTCTGGTGTCGCGCCGCATTCCTGGAAGAAGAGAGCGTGGGGAGGACGGAATGGGATATTTGGCAGGGATGGATCCGTCTCCCCTGGGGATCCTTATGGATGGAGGAAGAGCCAGGAGGGGCAAACCCCAGCCAGACCCTCTGGTCCCAAACCGCCCCTGAACCTGCCACCCCCCTGTGCCTCGGCTGGTCACCAGTGCGTTTCGGAGGGTGCTCACCTCCTCGCGCCGGGCAGGGGATCTCCTCCTGGAGACCCTCAGCTCCGACTCGGTGCACGACTTCTCGTCCTCCTCTTCGGGCAGGATGGAGGAGTTCTGCGAGATGGACCTGCGCGGGGTGGGGGCAAAGCAGAGGGCTTCACCCCTGCCCGCAGCCCCCA